CCTGGATGTGATCCTGGGAAATATGCTCTAGGTGACCCTGCTTGAGCAGGGAGGTTGGACTAGATGATCTCCAGAGATCCCTTCCAACCTCAACCATTCTGTGATTCTGTGATTCTGTAATAATCAGTATTAGTTTTATTTTAAAAATTATTTTATGTAAGGCTACGAAATACAAGCAACATGTAGAGGCCATTTAATTAAAAAGTCTGTGAGATGCAGTGTGCATATAGCATAAGAGGAGTTTTTCAGATATTTTTACAGTTATAGAAAGAAATGGCTTCCTGTTCCAAAGAAGTGGAGAATGTGATGATTTTATGACTAGACACAACCTAAGAGAAATGAATTAGACAACATTTTGAAAGGACTGAACTGATTTCATACTCTAAGAGTCAATGACACTTTTGCTCCTGAACCACAGAACTGTTTTTAAAGAACTTTACCTACTGCTTTTATTTCTAATGATGATTAAGAACACCCAAGAGAAATATCTTCCTTGCTTCTTCTTTAAAAACCAGCAGAATGATCTTGAAATACACACTTCCATATGCACAAAGTGGACATTAAAACTTCCACTTACAGACTGTTAAAAATATTAGGCAAAATTTCTTCTGGGTGTCAGAAGTGACATTTATTAAGCTTTATCTCCTGCAGATATAATTGCAGCTATTTAATCTCAGAGGAATTTTGAAGAAAGGGTCCTAACAGGGCTGTCCTCCCAAGTGCATGCTGCTAGTGCTGCACTACAGTGCTCCCACATCTCAATGCTTTCGCTACTGTCCTTCAGGGGTCTGGCTCCAATATTATTTTTATTCAAAGACAGCATTTCATTTTTAGCACAGTCAAAAGGCACATATAAAATTCCATCTTGAGAGAGAAGTGATAATGCTGCAGCTGACATAATTTTACCAAGATCCATATTTGTTTGTGTTTTCCTTAAAGCACCAAATTCTAGAATCATGTCATTATGTAAGAATTGGAGTTTATGCTGTTAAATATTTATAAAATAAATGCTAAATTTTTGTGGCCATAGAGAAAGCATTGAACATGTAAATTTCAAAGGTTCAAAAAACAAACAAAATGTCCTTATCATATATTAAAATCTTATGATTTTAGGGGTGAGGCAGGCCTTTTTAATGCTGAGGTTTAGCAATATTTGCCCATAAGTGACCTTTCTCCCTTCATCCCCAATTCTGACATGAATAAATATAAGTGTATGAGCAGCCTCACTGCATTCAATGGAAGGACTTGGTGACCAATGTGATTAAGGTGATTTTTTTGTGATTGTTTGCAGACCTGGACCAAATCTGCTTGTATAATAGGAAAAGTACATATTATTTTACATATTATCAATTTTATGATTATAGTTCTGACATCTCAGCACAGTCCTTAATTGTTCCTTGTGGGAATTACAGCAATAAGTATAAGAGGCATCTGGGGAAAGTTGGGACCTATGATCCTATGTTATAAGTCTATGTGGTGTTACCTATTATTTGTCACTAGATTCAATGCAGCACACAGGAATTTCTGGAGTCAGTAGACTATATTTAGTGATTCCCATCCATCCCATGTAGCAAATATTACAAAGACTTTGCCAGGTCACATCTGGCCAACAAACACCAATATATACTTTTTTGAATAAGGCCTTTGCTATCTTCATGCAGCTTTACAAAAAAGCTTTTTGGAATGTGAAAATAAAATAAGCCTGCAAAATGGGAAGATACATTAAAATTCCTAATTTGTAACAAACCAAAGTACAGCTGAATAAATAGCTATCTACAGTTGCCTTCTGGTTTCATCCAGGAACACAGAATTACTGCCTATCTTTTGCTGATTCTCCTGCCTCCTCCAGCTCATATCAAATATTGCAGAGGAAGAAGGCAATCATAGGATCTTGACAGTAATACATTTTTTATGGCTGTAGACTTCCAAAACCCCGGTGTATACATTCCCCCCTGAAAGCTTCCTATTTTTTTTTCTTCTTTTAAATCTCCTTGTCTTTTCAGAAGAAACCAAAGACACAAAATACTTTCTGAAAACAAAAATACACTATGAACAAGTTTGGAAATAAAGCAAATGGTTGTTTTATTTGTGAACATCAAATAAGTGCAGGTATCTGTGGCCTCCAAACTTATGTTAGAATAGCAACAGCAGCAGCAGCATTTCTTAGAACCTATCTAAAACCCATAGAAGTCATTGGAACATCTCTTGCAAATTTTATGGTCTTTGGAGAGGGACACTAATGAATGTGCTCAGTTCACTGGATCAAATTATCCTTGGTAAGTGATCTGGACAGAGTTATGCCTCAAACTGATTTGATTCCTTACACACACACACGCATTGCAAAATGCATCCCACTGGGGTTGTCAATTGCACGTCTTCCCAAAAAATGACTCTCTTAGGGGTTCCTCCACCTCTTCTTCAAATACCTGGTAAATACATGCAGGACTGTTTCTTGAAGTCTGTCACTGTGGAATACCGGTAAAGGGATGAGCTGCAGGATGCACGCCTTCAAAACAATCAAGCAAAAACAATACAAAGACAAAAGGTTACAGAAGCCTCTTGAAAGAAATTAACTGAGTGTTCACAAAGGTCATAGAAAATAGTAAATGCAAAAGCTTCTACTTTATACTTTTAGTATGAATGTTTCCCTTAGAGGGAAATGTTCATTTTCCTCAGTTTTCAGTAGATTTGTTCTCTTCACAATACTTTTATTTAGTGCTCATCATTACAGCTGTCATATATAAATATTTATTCTATTTTCTTAGCTTGGTTTCCTTAGAAAATGAAGTTCATGTGATAGCACAGCCTGTTTTTTTGTCCTTTCCTTTCCCCACTAACTTTCCCTCACTAATAACTTGAATCTGCTGGCCAATTTCTGTAAAGGATTAGGGGTCTCAAATGTATTTCCTAACAGGGTCATGAAAACAGGCAGCTGGAGAAAGGAGAAAGACTAACCAGAGACCAGACTGAGCTCAGCTCAAGATACAAAAGCATAGAAAGCTACACTTTGCTGAGGGCCACTGCATGTTACTTCCATCTTCCTCCCTTCATAGTTTACTGGTGCCATATTAGCCTTAACAATTTATTCACCATTTCTCATTTGAAGCCTAATCTTAAGGTCTTTGAAGTCAGTGAAAAGACCCCTGCTGCCAGTCAGCCTTAGTCCAGCCTTTGGGACCCATTTACAAACTATCAAATTCAATTACCAATATTTCATGGGCTAAACATCCAAAAATCTCATCTCCAAAGGTGACATAAACCAGTGATTCACTAACAAACTCTTCCGCCATCTTTGTGATAAGATTAGGTTTTTGGTACATTATCATTGGAGTAGAAACACCATAAGGAGCCACTACCTAAAATAAGAAATCAATAGTTTAATGTGATCAAACATTTTCATAAAGGCTTTCACTGTGCAGAATCCCACAGCATCTGACAAATTATAACAGGTACTTGCAGTGAAATGGTACTGAAGTAGAATAAGGAAAAAAGGCTATAGTTCCACACAGGGAGAAGAGAGAGCTTTGGCAGGGGCACCCACCACTTCACCAAGGATGGCTATACTCTACAGGTTTGAGCATCCCAGACCATACTTCAAGGATTCATTAAAATGAAGGCAAATATGGTAAGATATAGTATCACCTGTATGATAATTCCCTTTTCCTTATATTCTGCTTGCAGTGCTTTGGAGAAAGTGCATATAAAAGCCTAGAACAAAAAAAAACCAAACCAAAACAAAACAAAACAAACAAAACATTAGCACAGGAACCTGTAAGAACTTGCACATATAGTCACAAGTATGTGCATACACAGTCCTTACCAAAAATGACCAAGCATCATACAACCTAAGTCACAGTGCAGTGGTGAAAAACCTATAAATGATCTTTTCAAGACACATCTCTGCTGTCCTGCATTAGCAATGGCAGGATTGACTCTTTATCTGCACTAGAAAAGATGTAGCCTGACGCTAGCCCAAGCTAGGCATAAAACAAGTACTACTGTAGGCTGTACTGAAAACTTTGTCTCATTTTATGAAAGTGCAGAACTATAAACACCTGAGTCCCCTTTATACTAGCTCTTGGCACTGTTGCATGTAGCACTCTGGCTGACACATACCCTCCCAATCCAAGGATCATGCTGCTGTTTTCTCTTGCAGTAAAAAAGGGAGTGAAATCCAACTCATGCCTTAAATGTATACCTATTAGCATAGCCTACAAATAAGATTTTTAAAGTAATTTATTTGGGGATTTTGTTTGCTTTCTGCAGCTTCAGCCTTTAGGGTTCATGTTTCCAAGTTTTTTCTCCACACCATGAAGAGTACACATATACATTTTTTTTTGTGTAAAAGTTGAGTTTCTGATATAATGAGTGATTTTAGAAGCTAGACCCTTGAGAAATATTCAGAAACTTGACATTGAATCAAACCTCAGTAATCAGATATACAGAAGCCATATTAAGGAGAAAATCTGATGGCATTTCATAGTCATCATTTGTCAGGTCTTACAATTTTAAACACCAATAGTCTCATGATATGACATGAAACAATAATATGCTGACAAGTTAAATAGCTTCCTTTCAGGGCATTGTAAAAAGAAGTACATTTAAAAAGTGCTTAGACACAAAGTAAACAGCTACCCAAGAAAGAGAAAAAAGTCAGAAGATGATAACCAATATACCATATCACTTTGAAATAATGTTAACTAAGCTTTTTTAAGAAACTAAAATCATGTGGTTTGAATATAGTTTTGAGTACTACGAGAAACTTATTTTAAAAAGAGAAAAAGGAAATGGAAAACTACAATTGTTAGCCTTTTTTTTTTTAAACCAAGCTGAGTTCTAGCTATGTTCAAGCAAGTATCATTAAGAGTTTTTCACTTGAAGCAAATCTGAGCTGAGCAGAACATTTTAGGAGTTTCAGTGAAAGGCAGTAACTCCTTATTTTGATAAGCTCTTGGGTTTTAATTCAGAGTAGTATCTCAAAATAAAATCTATGAAGTCAGGCAACTCACCACGCATCAAACAGTTATTTTACTCTTCATTGCATAACTAAAATTTATCAACAGTATTGGTGCATCTACAGTTTTGAGTAAAACAGATAAGCCAGCCCAGTAAAAGTGATCACTGCCCTGAATGAGGACATATTACAAGCATTGGTATAATACTGTTAAATTACAGGCAAAAATCTTCTCATTATGAGCCATACCTTCATCTGGATGTCAGTGGCATAGCTTCACTGATTCCTGGTCCTCAGCTAGTGTAAATTCACATTGCTCCATTATTTCAGTGGAGCTACACTGATTCATGCCATCTGAGAACCTGTCCCTATGCTGCTGATATAAACATTTTAGTGAACACTTGATTGACACTTTTTTATAAAGCAATGTCAAAGACTTACCTTAGAAGCTGAGTACATTGTATATAATGGACAAGGGAAAGTACTCAGACCAGAGGACAGATTCAGAATAAGACCTTTCTGTCTGAAATTAAATTTAAATATAGTTACATTCAATTTACATTTGATGGCATTACAGTAAAAACCTGCACAAGTTGAAAACAACTTTTTCCCCCAGAAGACAGAGCTCTCCTATTATATAGTAGAATACATTCTCAAAAGACCTAATCTTTATAGTTTAGTTAAGTGCAATTAAGTCCAAAACAGCTTGGAATAATGTCATAAGTGAAATTTAAATGCCTAGTGCAGCCAGAACCATGGGAACATTGTATATGCTACTGTACATCTAACAGAGCAAAAGCTGCCATCAGAGGAAAGATTTTATGCTCCTAAGTAATTGGTAGGTCCCTTTTGCTCATTAACCAGCACATTCTTTTTCCTACTTCATGCATCTGTTGCTTTAGTTTCCCTATTCACAACTCCCCGTATAAATCAGTAAAAACAAGTCATTCAGCAACAACCAGGAAAAAAAACAAACAGTAAAAGCTTATTTTGTTGCTCAGACAAAAAGCATATACTGTCCTCTAACATGCAGTAGTAACAGTGTTTTCTAGAAACTCCATCTGAAGACCTTAACTTCTGGTTTAACAACCCCCCACGTCTAAAATACACATTGTATTAAACGGATAAAAGAAATCCTTATTTACATAGCTGAACTAATCTCTCTGAGGAAGTACAGATATCTCCAGTGCTTGAACAGTATTATTCTGAGCACAGCTACCACAAAATATTACAATATTTTCAAATGCTTGCCTAATTAGGCCCATCACATGCAATTTTATTTCTGCAACACATGCATGTTTTTCCTGGAAACAGACTCTGGTATTTTATATTTTCTGTCTTGTTCTACAGTTGACTGACAGTTTGTGGCAGTTCCTATCATTCATTCACACAACACTAACATCAACAGAAATAAATCTTACCAAGTGACATACCATAAAGTGGAGAAGTTAATCATGAAAAAGCATAGCTACCACTGAACAAAACAAAGGTAGCAGCTAAAATCTATTGAAAGTTATTAAAAAAAACAAAAAACAAAAAAGATTTTTACCTTGGCTCCATTTGTTTCAAAATTATTTGTATCATCTGTAAGACAAGTTAGTTAAGAATTATATCCAATCTCCCTGTTTCTGACTGTATTTTTTGACCCATCATGTTTTTTCACAAGATTTTCCATTTGCTCAAGTCCTAGCCATATGTATGCAACTCAAACGACTAAAATATGGCACCTTGAAACTTTTGGGAAAGATTAAGAAATGTTCATGGCTTGCCAATCAGCTGAATCATCAAAAAATTCCAAAGGTTAGTCTGCTAAGCAGTGAAAATCTCATGCTTATCCAAAAACTTTTCAACAGTATCTGAATTTCCTGAATCTTCAGTATTTGATCAGAAACCTAATGAGAAAGTAGGTTTCACAGCGCTTTTGTGTTTTCACTTCTGGCTCTACCTGGATCAGAAATAGCAGAAAATCATGAAAAGACAACCTTTTTTTTTCTGCTAGCAAAATAGCTTTAGGATCATATTTATGCTAATTATTTAATCATCCATTCTTATTTTGACAATGGACTTAATCATGTTTATAATTTTTAGAGCATAATTAAATCCATTTTTAGGTAAGAAGTCTGCTGCTGGTTGTTGTACTTGAAGAGTATTCCTGACATTAAGCCTAAGCCCTTTGGGAATTCATACTCAGACTATTGACTTGTTATAAACACACATAGTGTATAAATCTCTGCAGAATAAGAGCATGACCTAAATTGTAAAGGGTGGTAATGAAAAGCAGTGCAAATGAATGATGCAGCTTAATTCAACCCTTGTTAATTCCCTGGGTTTTTTAGTAGTGTCATTGTGTGCAAGGGATGAGTAGGAGCAGGGTGGGGTTCACAAGCTTCATTTTCAGAAAGGATGTTAAAAAAAGAGAGGATGGAGGTGGGTCATGCCAGCTTCGGTGAAGGGAAATTTCCAAGTATGGTGAAAAACATTCAGAAAGGTCCTGCCTCTGCTAACCAAAATGCTGAAAATCCCACCGACTTCTGTGGGAGCCAAAAATACCTGGAGCTCGGGCATCCAACTGGAGCAGGGAGCAGTGGGCAGGATCCTACCAGGAATCAAGCCAGGAACAGGAAGCCAACAAAAAATGTCAAGATAATTTGGACCTAGTCATTAAAAATGCTGACTAGGAGCATGATTTCATCTCAGTATTTTGGAGTAAAGTGACTATTGTGAAAGGCCAAAAAAGAAGTGGTTGTAATAGCAAGGGAAAGGAAGCCCCAGATCCCAGTGAAGTGGAAGGAGCTGATTTTGCGGCATGTGTAAAGTCTGAAATGACAAAGGGAGAATCCTTTTATATCCAGACTGTGTCGGTACAAAGTGTTTGTTACGAGCCTGTTTGTGTGGGATATGTATGTTTAGTACTCAGGTATTGCAAATGTTTCTGTTCTTTTGATATATAAATAGAATAAAACCTGGGGGCAGAAAGTTCACCAAAACACTATAAAAGAATGTGTTTTAATTGACTGATATTCCATGATTTATTATCTGAAGTCACTAAGCAGCAGTACAAATTTGGGAGGTAAAGTTTGCTAGCCAAGGAAAGAAGAACATCTGTTGATAATTTTCATGCCATGTTTAGAAAGACGTTAGCCAAGGTTGAGATGAACTATAAAGTGCTCTGCTCTTGTTCACATTAACATGCTGCTTGCAAACAGTAAAGCAATACAAATCTTAATCAGAGGTGGAAAACATGAAACATTAACTGTTCTTGTAAGGGAAATAGCCAACCAAAATGAACACTGAGGGGTGACAATACAGAATTGGGATTCAACTCCTTAAAAGTTTCTGTCCTGCATTGATGCAAAAACATTTTTGCAGAACAGAATTGCATCA